ACGTTTCTTGACTATTTAATCCCTCTCAAGATTTGGAACTTTACTTGTATAAATCAAAAAGATCCATTACTTTAGTTATAGTGGAGGGATATATTATACATATAGCGTATTTATTAACCCTTTTACTATATGTTTTTTTTCTTCAAACTATTTAATTAACACAAGCATACATAGCAGAACCGCGTACATAGCGACATTGCGTGTTTGTTTTCAAATTCTATTTTTATTTAAGCATAAAAATTAAAGTTTTTCAAAGATAATGATGTAATTTCTTCTATTACCATGCGGTCCATGCAAGATGAATCATTTCTTTCTTTACTTGTTTTAGTATGTTATATATGTTAAAATGGTAAGGATCACATGATCATAACATTTGAGGTTTTAACTAGTTATTTGACCCAAATGAATTATTTGTTTTTGTTTTTTTTGGTTGAAATTGAATGAATTATTTGTTTATATTGCTATTAAATTTAAATTTAAATCAATAGGAACAAAGAGTTAACTTTCTGTTCATAGTCGTGGTTAGAAATAACTAGGAATAGAAATATGCAGGTAACAGTAGGACCACTGGAAAAACCATCATTGTTTCTTTTAATACTATTGACCTTAGTTGATATATTAACTCAAACCAACACATTCAAAAATTTATTTGAATTTTTTGTTTACTGACTACATATGACTTCATCAAGGTGTATATACTTGTATACATAGATGTATGGTAAAAACAAAATCGTCTTTCCATTATATATTAATTAGGTTGCTGAAGCGATGTGGAATCAATAACAAACATGTAAGAAATAAACACTAATGATAACGTGTCTCATAATTAAATATCCCGGGTTTATCATTTTGTTGCGGTTAATTGTTTACATTACGAAAAATTTAGGTATTATATATGTTGCGTGTGAATCGTGAAGTGTGGTAATTTTAGGGAAGTTTTAATCAATTGGTCAAAAAGATGCATTCGTTAGAAAAGAGTAAGATATTAAGAAAAAGTCTCTAATTAAAAGAAAACAAATATTGATTATCTAACTCTTTTCTAAATTTGTTCTTTGTAATTTAAATTGTGATATATACATAGGTGGGCCTTCATGTCAATTCAAGAAAACATATTTGATCATCTGTTACAAAACTAAACATAGCTTAAAGAAGCACAATCACTTCTTTTTTTTTTCCAAAATCTTCATAATTCACATAAAGAACTTCCAAAAATACCATATAAACCCAACAAGATCACTTTATAAATTCTTCAGATTACAATATTTAAAGTATCACACACACCTCTACATGTAAATTAACTTATAAATATTAAAAAATGTTATTTTTTCTTCTTCTGAATGTAAATTACGTACAAAACCCATTTTAGGCCATCTTTATCCATGGTTTCTTAGGCGGTTCTTAAAATATAAAATTATTAAAACACACTCTCTCTCTTCTTTTTATTCAATTTTATACCTTCTCTTTCATACTTTTACTCAACTTTTATTAATTTTATATTTAAACACACTTAAAAACCCTCTCCAAAAGTTTCTTAACATACAACCTAAACATACTTTCTCTCCACTATCTCTTATTTTTACTCAAATTTTACATTTCAATACACCCCACTATTTCAAAAAAAAACATTTTTTTTTTCCTTTTACTCAAATTTTAATAATTTTATATTTTAAGAACCCCTGATATACCCCCGATAAAGATGCCCGTAGTTCCTTAATGGGTTGGTTGAAAACATGAACGGGAAGTGTAGTCTGTGACCAAAAGAAACAAAAAATGGAAAAGTGTAGTCTTTTAGCTCTCGGTAACATTAAAAACCAAATTGATTTCGGTACGGTATGATTCGGTTTAGATTGAAATCGATTAAACCGGATAGGAGATTCTCAAAATTGAAATTGATAAAGAAGATCTGTGTATCGAGTACGCGTGAGGTTGTTTGCAAACAAAAAAAGCCTCGAATCCTGGCGTTGATAGCGATTGGTTAATTGTCGGTGGATCATCATCGTTAGCAA